TACATCGGTATGATGACCGGCTGATCATCATACAGGCCCAAAACTTCGATGGGAACGGTCTCGGTTGTTGAGATGTAGTAGAAAAACCCTCTAGTCTTCTGCTGCGACGATGGGATGTCTGGGGAAGCAGGATGCTTCTTGGAGATGGCGGACTCGCCCCACACCTCTCCACCACTCTAGCGGAACACCACACGCGGGGGAGTCGGCCAACAGCAGTAGACTGGCGAGGGTTCCGTGTATCAGTCATACTAGACTCTGCATACGCCGACCTATCTGCTGTGCGCGTGTGCCAAAGCGCAAAGTAAATATTAATAAAAGGTAGAATTGGATAAATTAGTACCGCAACTGCAATGTGAATATAATAAACATGGCCGTACATCATATTAAAGGCGGATCAGCAGCAGCATAAAAACGTAATCTGCAATAGTACAGAATTTTCATCAACGTAATCCACTGAAACAAACACGGTCCCCCGTGACTAAACTGTAGAAAAACGACTAAATATCAATATATAATCGTTGAAGGATACTAGCTAAACCTCTATAGATGTCTATACGAGGTAACTAACTAAATATAATTCAAAGGATATAGTGTGTCGGGAGACACAGGCGCTCTCACGTCCAGCTCACTGGGCGAAGAAGGAGAGAGTGAGGCACATGGGTAGAGGTGGCGCCCTCGTTCCCGAGCTTGTGGAAAGGAGGTAACTCGTGGTGAATACTAATTAGTGATTTTAAATTGAAGGGAGCTTCAATTAGGGAGATACAAGTGTTCCACTATGTTCGCAAGAAGAAGAAGACAAGCAAAAAGAGCATGAGTCAGGATAAGGAAAAATTAAGCTTTCATTAAAGCAACATGTGACAAGCTACATGAATACATACTAATTCTGAGAAACTGTTATGTTGGTGCTGCTTCATGCCAATTCTCAACCCGCTTCATGGTTTCTGTCAAGTTCTTCAACAACTTCTATTTAGAGGTACCAATATAACGATGGTGAGGTGAGGTGAAATGAGGTTAAACTTCGTACTTAAGATTATTTCGCTCATATGACGACGTGCATGCATGTGTATGTGTGGCTGCTTGTACTACCCCAGACTTAAGCTGGTTTTATAGTGCTAGCTCACTGAGATACCATGCTGCAGTTAAGCATGAATACCCCACATTATACAGATTCCGAGCTGACCAGTCCTTGTTGTACACATTAAGGCGGAGCGCCAGGCAGGGACCAACAAAAAGATATTTTAAAGTCTTTTGGCATTACGCGGCCAGGGATCGAACCAGCGACCTTCCGCTCTCAGAGCGGATGCTCCAACCACGGAGGCGGTCCACTATAATGAAGAATAAGTACAACAGGTCATAGCAAATATAATGTCTGGTCAGTGAGCACACTATGACAGACTCAAGCTGTAGCATTTTTCACAACACAACCATTGCAAGCATATTCAAATTCATCCCTGAGTTGAATTGTTGATAAGTTCAATTTACTCTGTTATGATCAAGAGACTGTGAGAAGGGACAACAGAGAAAATAAAGTTTTAGATTGCGATGGCACTTCACGAATCTAAAAGTGATTTTGTACACTGCTAGATGCACATGTGTGTCCATTAATGTGTGAGTAATGTAAGATGTATGATGTGTTGAGAAACACATGCCAGTGGAAGATGTAAGATACCATGTTGAGTAACACATGCCCATGGAAGATGTACGATGCCAGGTTGAGTAACACATGCCCATGGAAGATGTAAGATGCCATGTTGAGTAGCACATGCCCATGGAAGATGTAATATGTCATGTTGAGTAACACATGCCCATGGAAGATGTATGATGCCATGTTGAGTAACACATGCCCATGGAAGATGTATGATGCCATGTTGAGTAACACATGCCCATGGAAGATGTATGACGCCATGTTGAGTAACACATGATCATGTAAGATGTAAGATGCCATGTTGAGTAACACATGCCCATGGAAGATGTATGATGCCATGTTGAGTAACACATGCCAATGGAAGATGTATGACGCCATGTTGAGTAACACATGATCATGTAAGATGCCATGTTGAGTAACACATGTCAATGGAAGATGTATGATGCCATGTTGAGTAACACATGCCCATGGAAGATGTAAGATGCCATGTTGAGTAGCACATGCCCATGGAAGATGCCATGTTGAGTAACACATGCCCATGTAAGATGTAAGATGCAATGTTGAGTAACACATGATCATGTAAGATGTAAGATGCCATGGTGAGTAACACATGCCCATGTATCATGCCATGTTGAGTAACACATGCCCATGGAAGATGTAATATGCCATGTTGAGTAACACATGCCCATGGAAGATGTATGATGCCATGTTAAGTAACACATGCCCATGGAAGATGTATGATGCCATGTTGAGTAACACATGCCCATGGAAGATGTAAGATGCCATGTTGAGTAACACATGCCCATGGAAGATATAAGATGCCATGTTGAGTAACACATGCCTTGAGTAACACATGCCCATGTAAGATGTAAGATGTCATGTTGAGTAACACATGCCCATGGAAGATGTATGATGCCATGTTGAGTAACACATGCCCATGTAAGATGCCTTGTTGAGTAGCACATGCCCATGGAAGATGTATCATGCCATGTTGAGTAACACATGCCCATGGAAGATGCCATGTTGAGTAAAATGCCCATGTAAGATGCCATGTTGAGTAGCACATGCCCATGGAAGATGTATGATGCCATGTTGAGTAACACATGCCCATGTAAGATGCCATGTTGAGCAACACATGCCCATGTAAGATGCCATGTTGAGTAACAAATGCCCATGTAAGATGCCATGTTGAGTAACACATGCCCATGGAAGATGTATGATGCCATGTTAAGTAACACATGATCATGGAAGATGCCATGTTGAGTAGCACATGCCCATGGAAGATGTAAGATGCCATGTTGAGTAACACATGCCCATGGAAGATGCCATGTTGAGTAACACATGCCCATGTAAGATGCCATGTTGAGTAACACATGCCCATGTAAGATGTAAGATGCCATGTTGAGTAACACATGCCCATGGAAGATGCCATGTTGATTAACACATGCCCATGGAAGATGTATGATGCCACATTGAGTAACACATGCCCATGTAAGATGTAAGATGCTATGTTGAGTAACACATGATCATGTAAGATGTAAGATGCCATGTTTAGTAGCACATGCCCATGGAAGATGTAAGATGCCATGTTGAGTAACACATGCCCATGTAAGATGTATGAAGCCACGTTGAGGAACACATGCCCATGTAAGATGCCATGTTGAGTAGCACATGCCCATGGAAGATGTATGATGCCATGTTGAATAACACATGCCCATGTAAGATGCCATGTTGAGTAACACATGCCCATGGAAGATGCTATGTTGAGTAGTACATGCCCATGGAAGATGTATGATGCCATGTTCAGTAACACGTGCCCATGTAAGATGCCATGTTTAGTAGCACATGCCCATGGAAGATGTATGATGCCATGTTGAGTAACACATGCCCATGGAAGATGCCATGTTGAGTAACACATGCCCATGTAAGATGCCATGTTGAGTAACACATGACCATGTAAGATGTATGATGCCATGTTGAGTAACACATGCCCATGGAAGATGCCATGTTGAGTAACACATGCCCATGGAAGATGCCATGTTGAGTAGCACATGCCCATGTAAGATGTATGATGCCATGTTGAGTAGCACATGCCCATCGAGTGAGTGAGTGAGTGAGTTAAGATTTTTAGTCACATCGGCAATATTTCAGCCATATCGTGACTAAAGCAAGTTCTAAATATATCAACAATTTAAGTGAAATTATAAAATTCTGCCAATGAAGGACAGTAAAATAACTAGATTATCACAGATATAGAACATGCCCATGGAAGATGTATGATGCCATGTTGAGTAACACATGCCCATGGAAGATGTATGTTGAGTAGCACATGCCCATGGAAGATGCCATGTTGAGTAGCACATGCCCATGTAAGATGTATGAGGCCATGTTGAGTAACACATGCCCATGGAAGATGCCATGTTGAGTAGCACATGCCCATGGAAGATGCCATGTTGAGTAGCACATGCCCATGGAAGATGTATGATGCCATGTTGAGTAACACATGCCCATGGAAGATGCCATGTTGAGTAGCACATGCCCATGGAAGTTGTATGATGCCATGTTGAGTAACAAATGCCCATGTAAGATGTAAGATGGCATGTTGAGTAACACATGCCCATGTAAGATGTATGATGCCAGGTTGAGTAACACATGCCCATGGAAGATGTATGATGCCATGTTGAGTAACACATGCCCATGGAAGATGTATGATGCCATGTTGAGTAACACGTGCCCATGTAAGATGTATGATGCCATGTTGAGTAACACATGCCCATGTAAGATGTATGATGACACGATGAGTAACACATGCCTATGGAAGATGTAAGATGCCATGTTGAGTAACACATGCCCATGGAAGATGTATGATGACACGATGAGTAACACATGCCCATGTAAGATGTATGATGCCATGATGAGTAACACATGCCCATGTAAGATGCCATGTTGAGTAACACATGCCCATGGAAGATGTATGATGCCATGTTGAGTAACACATGCCCATGGAAGATGTAAGATGCCATGTTGAGTAACACATGCCCATGGAAGATGTATGATGTCATGTTGAGTAACACATGCCCATGTAAGATGCCATGTTGAGTAACACATGCCCATGTAAGATGCCATGTTGAGTAGCACATGCCCATGTAAGATGCCATGTTGAGTAGCACATGCCCATGTAAGATGTAAGATGCCATGTTGAGTAACATGTGCCCATGTGAGATGCATGATGCCACATGGAGTAACATGTGCCCATGTGAGATGCATGATGCCATGTGAGTGGCTCGTCATCATGCAGTATGTGTGATGCCACATAGAGTGAGATGTATCATTCCATGTGTTATGTATGCCTGACCTCATCTTCCACTAGGCTCCTCTTGATAGCTGACCATGAGTTGTCTGGCATGTAAGTCTCAGTTGTGGCACTGCCAAAGTCACACACCTTGATCAGACCCTGGGCGCTCACCAGCAGATTCTCAATCTAAGGCAAACACACAAGTTACAATTTTAATCATCACACTGTTACTACAGAACACAGTTCATGTCCACACACCTCTCAACTAAACACAATGCCATCATAAACAGAGAGGTCTTGAGAACTAGCAATCTCATCGAAATATTTTACCACAACAGGGCACCTTCTGAGAACATCCATAGAAAGTGGAGGACCATCAGCTTGCAACAATTGAAAACAAAACAAAACTTGTTACCAAGCATGAACATAATACAAGAATTAAAGATTGTTGCATTGTGGTTCCAAGAACCATTACATCGGTGTATCAAAGACTGTTGAATAAGCACACTCATAGTCAGACAAAACTAGTGAGTGTGTGAGTGAGTTTAGTTTTACGCCACACTCAGCAATATTCCAGCTATATGGCGGCGGTCTGTAAATAATCGGGTCTGGACCAGACAATCCAGTGATCAAGAGCATGAGCATCGGTCTGCACAATTGGGCACCGATGACATGTGTTGACCAAGCCAGCGAAGCGTGACCACCCGATCCCGTTAGTTGCCTCTTACGACAAGCATGGGTTACTGAAGATCAATATTCTAACCCGGACCTTCACGGGTTAGACAAAACTAAGCCTAGTAAACTGGTATGATAGAAATTACAGGAAACAGACTGTCTTTATCTAACTTACTTCAGGAGTACTTTACTCTCACAAGCTTGGTGTTCCACCATGTCAGCACACAAAATGGCACCATGTGTCTCGTTTTTACGTAGCCAAGCATTGCATAAAATATAGTGACCCAAACATGTTTTTATTACAAATGTAGGGATCATGTATGCTCTGATGATGTGCTTCACGCAGTGACGTGTTAGAGAAGGGGTGGGTATAAATTAGCAGTGAGTTTGAAGTTTTGTATGAGGGGGTCACTTTACATGTGGCAATATACGGTAATTCAACATCAGCATCAGACACATGCGGATGCTCCTTGTTCAGATATGACATGAGAGGTTAATCAAGGAAACAAATCTGGATCCCGTGATAACAATAAATGTAAATGGGCATACCTTGAGATCCCGGTGCACTATGGGTGGTTTCTGCTTGTGCATGTGTTGCACACCCTTACAAGTCTGGTAGAACACCTTCAGCACCTGGTCACAGGGCAGAGGGGTGGAACGTGCATTCAGAATGTGTACTAGTTCACCACCTGCAACAAATAGAGGAGATGAGATGTTCCAGCTGTCTTCCTGGCCATCTCTGTAGTACAGCAAAGTTAGGCTGTACTTACATGAGACCAGCAGATAAGACTCCAAGGCATAAGAAGAGCTGAGGCAAGACAGAGATAAGAAGTGGACCTGGTGGTGCTGCACGTACCTGAACACAGCTCGGTGAGCAGGAGGTATTCATGCTGGCCATGGTCAGACTCTTCCTTCCCTATAGCTGCTGCAGTGATGAACTGAACTATGTGTGGGTGGCCAGACAGTTTCTTCTGACACAGGTTCAGGAAAATCAAAAGTAGTTGGATGGACAGAAAAGATAAGATGGGTGTTTCTTTGGACATATGTATTAAATGGACAAACAGCCTTGTATCTTTTCCCAAAGGTTTCTGCCATGACCAAGTTAATGGATGAGTAGTTATGGTATTAGGTTGTCTAATGATCATGCAAACTTGCACAGACAGAACAATCTTAATTACTCCTATCAAACAAAATTAAATTAATTTAAATATTCATGATATGACTTTATCATCCAAAACTGTGTTCCACAGGAGTTATCGCTTGTGTGAGATCAAATGATATCTCCTAGGAGATATCGTTTTGACAGTAGATTTTGTACAATGCCCTGACAATGCTATGGCGTCATCAACTTGATGATGTCACAATGCTATGACATCGCTGCACTGCAAGTCTAATGGTAGTACAGTGTTGAGAGATGTACATTTGTCATTGAAAACTAATGAAGAATGATTTTTGATGATAAATAGAATCTCACCCTCATGTCTACTGACATCAATTATATCAACACTCGTTGATAAAGGTAAAAATATCCTCGGCAAGCCTCGGATATTTGTAACTTTATCAACTCGTGTTGATATAATTGATATCAGTAGACACTTGGGTGAGATTCTCTATATACTTATTCTGACACAACATATTGTAATTGCCTTTTTCACATATAACATATAACACACAACTGAAAACATAACTCTTTAATATCCAGGGCAAACTTTGCCTTTAGTTTCTAATCAGAAGTATCTGTTGGAGATCCCTCATTGCCTTCGCTTCAGGAGCAGGTGAGTTTAGCTAGAAAAGTACTCCAATTATATGACAGCATATTAGGTTAAATGTGTGAAGAAAGCTGAAAGTCACATCAATCTCAGATGGGCCTGAGTATAGTGCTGATAAACCTCCACACATACCGGTAACTGGAGGTCTGGGATGACTAGGGATTTCTCATCCACACAGCACAATGCAATCCTGCAGTTGGGGTGGGGCCTGCAGATTTCATAACCAGCACTTGTTTATGTCAGGATTAGACTATGCCCAGTGAACTTTCCCTTGACTAATCCTGTATCACCTGTCACATTCTTACAACAACATCGAAAAATAGGCTCCATTGTCGAGTAACTGGCAGTTGCCATTATGCAACGCTTGGCAGATAGGAAGGAATAGTAACAGTTTACCAGGGAGGTTGTTCTATTTTTAGAAATTGGAAATTTTAATATAAATTGTATATTTATATACTTATCCTATCTCACGACTTGCACCTCTCTCTCTTGCTTCGACTTTTAGTGGAACGACTGTAAACTTTTTTCCATAGGCCTCCTTGTCCATTGGTCCGTGCACTCCATACTACTCTCCTTAATTAGCTTCCTAGTTCCTAATAAAGTGTGCAGCATGCTCCACTAATTGCCCACGTGACTATCTGGAATGATCATTCTCATCTTGGAGCCAACGTTGAAATCTGAGTAGTGGGCAGGCCGGGCGGGCATCCATCGCGTGAGATAGGGTAAGTATATAAATATACAATTTATATTAAACTTTCCAAATTTTTAAACTTATCCTATCTCACGACTTGCACTTATCCCACGGTTGGACGGCGGGCCGTAGATTACCCTTCTGTCTGGACAGTGCGAACAGCTGGTCTTGGAGCTGTGTGGACTGATGACAACTGTAGATAGTGATGTACAAGGGAGGCCTGTTACGCATGCACGCAACTCCTATGCTTGTAGTGGGTTCTCCGGAACCCGTTGGCTTACTAAGCACAACGACTCCCAGGGAGATGGGTGCTCCCGAGCGATGTGATGTTCGGCCGCAACCTTGTACAAGACAAGGGACGCAACTCGGCAAGTAAGCCTCGCCTCGCCACGATTTACAAGGTACCCCCGTAATTAAAGTCTTGCGACTAGAATCGGGCCAGACTCGCTTCAAGAAGGCCCCCCAGACACCAACCGAGGCGGGTGAAAGAGAAACATAACTCGGCATCTCCAAGGTTTAACGTTCAGTTCCGGGCAGCATCAAATTGACCCTCACTCCTTTGCCTAAGCTTAGTCAAAGGATGTGCCCGGCAACTTTGGAGGCAGAACCCATATAATGAGAACAAAAGGTTGAGATCCAGTTCAACTTTTATTCAGTATACACAAGGAAGTAGTAACGCGAATGCGGAACCGTCCCTCATCTGCGTTGTTGGGCTGATGTAAGCTGCTGAGCCAGTACAAGAGGTCCAAACTGGTGTAGTCTCTGGACATCCGTGACAGACAGGTCTCGCAGGTAATGTGAAGAGAGGACTGTATCAGAACGCCAGAAGCAACCTTCCATGATAGCGGTCAAGGAGCAGTTGCTATGGAGGGCCATCGTCAAGCTAGTGCACGAGTCTCATGAGGATTGGAAGCGGCTGGAGGAGGCAACCCTGCAACGTTGTAGGCTCGCAGGATCGTGGCACGCATCCAGAAGGCCAATGTGGTCCGGGAAACCTCAGTTCTTGAAGCGTTTGACAAGGGTATGAAGAGGCGCTTCCGTAGCCGTTGACGATCCTTGGAGACAGCCAGGTAAACGTGTAGAGCCCTAACAGGGCAGAGTGTCAAATCTTCATTATCATCAGGCCCAAGAATGGTGGACAACGGGGGAATGGTAAACATCCGGTCCGGTTGCCCTGGCAGTTGGTTTTTCGCAATGAAGTCCCAGCAGAGACCCAGGAAAGCCTTGCCATGCTTCTTCCGCTCGAACCGCACCCAATTGACATCAAGTGCATGCAGGTCAGATATACGAGCAGCGGTAGCCAAAGCTACCAGGAAGAATGTCTTGAATGTCACTTGTTCGAAGTCCTTATCTTCTAAAGGTTCATAATCTGTAGAAATCATATGACGAAGGACGACGGACAGATCCCAGGCCGGAGGTCTGAACTTCTTGGACTGGTCAGAGAGTCTATAGGAGCGTAGAAGACTCTGCAACTCGGGAACAGTGAAATCTTCATGCCCATGGTGGTAGCCAAAACCGAGTTGATGGCAGCTAAGTAGGTAGCTAACGTAGTACCCTTGAGTTTCTTAGATGCTGGAGAAACTCAGCAACGACCTGAGCCGAGGTGGAAGTGGGAGATGCAATTCCCCTAAGCTTGCAATAGTCTTCAAACTTCTTCCACTTGTTGTCGTACAAGGAACGGGTTGAAGTATGATGCGCTGAAGTAATAGCTATGGCTACTCTGAAGATGCGCTAAACGTGTAGATTGAGGGTCTGAGGTGACCCGTGGCGCAGTTCCAAGTGAGGGTGAAGAAGTATGTCGTCCCAGTTGGGAAGCGGTACTGGGTTTGGCTCTGCCAGGCTTCTTAGGTTGACGAACCAACTTCTTGCTGGCCAGAAGGGTGCGACCAAAAGCGGCCAATAGTTTCTGTATTACTTTTGGTAGCAGAGCTGGCGGGGGGAACGCGTAGGCATTGAGACCCTCCCATGATATTGCCAACGTGTTGAGGTCCCACGCCACGGAGTCTGGGATTGGTGATACGAACTTTGGAAGTTGGTTGTTGAACCATGTGGCGAAAAGATCTATTTGAGGCCGTGATAATGGGTAGATCATCGATTGAAAGATCTGGGGCAGTAACTTGCACTCTGTCGGAGACGGTCGGTTGGATCAGGACAAGGCATCGGCGATCACATTTTTTACGCCGGGAATGTGTCTGGCTCTGGCTACGATGTTGAGTGAGTCGATGAGATAGAAGAACCTGATCGCCCATTGTAGCAGATTTGCCGAGCCTGTCGAGCCTAGATGATGGCTTGAATTACCGCCTTGAATTCCAGCTTGTTTATATGAAGTACCCGTTCATCAGATGACCACAGCCCAGCCACTTGGTGGTCGAGGGCATCATAGAGGCAAAGGGCATCATAGAGACTCCGGCACAAACATTCTGTTCGTCGAGCCACCATTGAAGGACTGGACGAAGCTGTTCTGGAAGGCAAATTAGTTCCTTGGGGTTGTCAGCCTGTCACCCTATCTGTCTGAGCAGCGTGGTGGTGAACTGTAGCTGGTGAAGCAATACGATTGGATCCTGTTGAGCCTGGATGCAATCGTCTATGTAGCTTTCGAAGGTGATCCCTTGAAAGTGGAGGAAGCTCGTTATTGGCATGGTAATTCGGGTAAAAAGCCACGGGGCCGTGGAAATTCCAAATGGTAGGACTTTCCATTGGTTGTGATTCGTGTTGAACACGAAGCGAAGGTACTTCCGGTGTTCTGGATGTATCGGAACGTGAAGATAAGCATCCTGAAGTTCTAGGCTGATGAGGAAGTCTCCCTTCTTCTGCGTAAAAGGTTGATCGACACCATCCTGAAGTGAGAGGGTGGAAGCAGGAATCGGGCATTGAACAACTTCATATTGAAGATGAGCCGGACTTTGTTGGAATTTTTCTTTGGAACCAAGAAGATTGGGGAGTAGAATCCTGGAGTGACGGGCAATCGACCTAGGAGCTCTATCCCGAGTTTGTCTAATAGCGTACCTATTGTGGATTGCAGAGTCTGAAGCTGGTCCACAGGATATGAGCGATGAGCCGGATGTGACGTCAGAGGTGGACTGCCAATAACGGGTTGCTGATAGCTGTGAAGTAGCAGGTTGGTGACGTACGAATCTTTGAGGATGGTCCAATTCGGGGGGAAGATCTGCAATCTCCCGCCTACCGGAGTGTTGTAAATCAGAACGACTGGGGGCAGGAGGTCCCAATCGTGAGATTGTCTCAAGCCGTCACTGCTTCCCGGCGCTGGTCCCTGGGCCAGAGTTGGTCCTGGGGGGGCGACGGGAGGAACCACCACAGCCAGATATGTTTCCTCTGCCACGGCCTTGAGTGGATGTGCCACGAAAAAGATTGCGTAAATCCCGGATTGGTAGGGGTGAACTGTGCAGTTTGATGCTGTTTTAATGAGTCCTGGAGCTGTGACTTCTGTATCTTTAACAGTTCAATCGAGACTTGAAAGTGGGTTTCTTTATCAACTTTAGTAGATACTTCT